GGCGCTTAAGTTGGGTGCGATCTCTTATCGACGCTACGAGCAGCGCGAGTCTACCCACGTTTCCCTTATCTTTCTCGCTTCTCCTGCTTGTGGAACTTACAACCCTACTCATACATACGTATGATACATATTGTCGTTTGAATGTACGAGCTATACGCTGGCAGTAGCGAGTTCGCTTATGAATGGTCGCTATCGACTGTCGTCGTCCATGTTGTCGTCGTCGTCGTCGACGTCGACATCGTCGTTGTCGTTGTCCCCGATGACGACGTTTTTCATCGTTTTTCCATGTGACTCTCGCGTGATCCACATGATCCTTTTCCACAGATAACCCTCGACGTTTCTCCTCGATGTTACTTGCACGATGATCGATTCTCGCTCGTATGCTATGTTCGTTCTCGAGTCTCAACGATCGCTTCGGACTCCCGAACGTCGTAAATCGAGTGAACGGCAATCGATTAATCATCGTCGTACGTTCTTTCGTTTCCGACTCGAATTTACGGAAGCGAAACTTCGGGCTCACGATTGTTTTAGGATCGATTGTACTAGCAGGTGCGCGATATGTCGAAAGAGCGAACTAGATGAACACATGGGATATGATCTGAAGGCGATTTCTTCCACGGATGTTGATCGTTCCGCGCTGTATATAGAAGGGAGGGAGTAAATGACATAAGAAGCGATTGAACGCTCACGTGTAACGCAGGGAATTTATATTTTGTAATGTACCGTTTGTTCATCTTTATTGGAGCAGTTACTTGCTTACAGTCGCATTTATAATTCCTCGTGATATAGTCTGACTATTTAAAGTTTATTGCGAAAGATATTTACTCGTTTTTGTTTGCATGCAGCTTTATAATATACCATTATGTAATTTCCGTTCATTTTCTTATATATATATATTTTTAATTATATTTATATCTTATGATTGTAGTTTGCTTATAGTAAATATTGAAGTTTTTAATTCATTACAATAAAAATTTTTGAATAATGTAAAAAGGAGATATATATTGTGTGTTGTGTTTGCGTGCAGTTTATATGTTATGTCTTAAAAGATTTGCATCCTTTATTACGACTTGAAGTTTATAAAAGAATTAAGTAGGATTAAAAAAATGTGTGACGCTAACTTCTATTTACAATTTAAAACATTGTTTTTGTATACAATTTTTGTATTTTTCTTAAGAAAGATAAAACAGAAACAAAAGTTAGTAATCATAGTAATCTCGACATTAATACGTTGTACTTTAATTATTATAAAAATTGTAATAATAGCGAAATGACTGTAAAATGTATAAAATTTCCATTGTCTTTAAAATGACAATATCATTCGCTTCCAAAATCGCTTTGTTAAAGCCAAATATTGTTCTTTTTCAAGTTTGAAGCAAGAAGCTCGTCGATCGGAATCCGACTGTAGGAACTGTAGGAACGTGCATACTTACCAAACTATCGTCTGTTCTCTATAACTAACCGCTTCGAAAAACTCAGTTAGCCGGACGAAGTAGTGAAAGTTTTCCAAAACTTCAACGGCGCGGAACGAGTGAGATTGAAATATATTCGATTCGCTTTTCCTTTTTCTCCTCTTTCCCACTCGCTTCCTTCGTTCTTCACGTCAGGATTCGTTACCTTTATCCCGGTGCTCTATGTCGGATTTGTAATTCGGCAACTCAGAGACCGGGCCTGACGTTGAGTTCAAAAGCAGATAAAGTTCAAACGTGGCTGCGTATGCCAGAGAACTAATTTACACGGTTCAATTTTAATGGTTAGAATTCCAGATGAAAATTATCCAAAGTAAAAAAAGCCGTTGATCGTATAAAGTGGAAGAACTTTAATTCCTTTTAAATTGGTAACTTTGAATCTTATTTTATCATAGCCTATTCCAGATAAAGTTAAAGAGTCTTTATTTCTCTCTTTTTCTCTGTTTTTTAACTTATATATATATAAAACTGAATCTATGTATGATTAGCAATATTTTTAATTTACTTAAATGTAAAATAAATAATATAAGGTTTGAGAGATAAAAGAAAGTATAACATTTTATTTTACAGAGATACAAATTTATCTTAATTTTAAGTATCTACACACAAAGAGAAAGAGAAAAAGGGTACGTATATTCTTTTTTAAATACAATTAAATATTTGTTCTAACTCACTACTTATTAACTCGAATTTAATAACATTCCTATTTTATAAGATCAAAACATTTTAAGAAATTTTCTCAAGTAATATAAAGTATGTCTGCATATGTCTATTTATACTATCTTTTTGTAAACAAGCAGAAAATAATAGCGCAAATAATATCTAAAACAGATTTGTATTTTCGTTTATTGTGTGATTATCCGCGATGGATTATCCAAGGGAAAACCGTGTAAACATTTTATCCCAAGTGACTAACGTATAGTAAAGCGTTGGAAAGCTTCCTTCTGCAGTTGATTATATTGCGGGGATACGCAACTCAAATTTTATGTGTGTATGTATATATATATATATGTATAATAAAACAAACTACATCAGTTCTACACATTCAATTAAAGTTAATTGAGTCACATTATTAACTTTATTTCAACAGTTTTATTACATTATTAGTGATACAGATAATACTGATTTAGAGAAAGTTAATTTTCTGTTAGCAAATTGCGTACTATATTAATTAAAATAAAAATTATTTCAATTGATATTTTAATTAGCTGCAAATATTATATTCAGAGACTTAAGATCGCGTATTCTGTTTTTAATATCTTTATGTAATATTTATTATAAAATATAAAAAATGCACTTCTAATTTATAATTGCAAAACATTTTTTTTCTAAAATAAATAGATAAATATGAATGAATTTTAAATTTTTCTTAGATTAATTTTAACTAAGATTAGTACATGTTCACAAATTAAAAATTTTAATCTTAGTTTAATATTATGTTTTTTATCTTACATTATGTGTATTAAAAATTTTATGTAATGGTAATGAAATAATATTCACATTACAAGCAATAATATGTATAAATATTATAATAAATATTGATATTAATAAATGATACTATAATACATATAATAGGCAATGAGAAACTATATTTTAATGAATACAAAAAAAATTAAGAAAGTATAAAAGTTTACAACACAAAATAATGTGTGCATGGGCTTACATATTGATAGGGATGCAAGTGTTTTAATTCTGCTTATCTCTTCTTTCGCTAAGTAAAGAGTGCAAGATGAACACGTGCGAAAAATTTTATCTCTTTCGGAAGAGAGCTTGTATGAAACATTTCAGAGGTGCAATGCTTCTCACAACTATATCAGTCCTAGAGGAATACGAGGGCGCGTAAATCCGTAAATCGGCTTGTTACTCATCGCAGCTCCCCTTGGCAATTTTTGCATGAAGGGCTATCAGGTTGTTAACGTTGAAGTGAAGAAGATAAAAAAGGAAGCTACTGGCACACTATATGCTTCGCAAAATGAGGAAGACAGACAGGCTGTTATTTATGAAAACTAATAAAATTTAAGCTTTTAATCTCAGTTAAAAGAAAATTATGTGTCATAATTGCGAAAATGTCAATCTTTTATATATATATATATATATATATTTTTCAAATTTAGGATGACAGAAAAGACAGTTTCTTTAAAACACGTTCTTAATTTTCTTGTTTGATCGTGATCCTACTGCGTTAAAATGTTTAGTTGAAAAATATCAAGAACTGCACGCTTTATAAATTTATACAGCAATTAATTGGTTGGCTTTTGTGGTAGGTTTCGAATATTTCGTAGAATTAATCTAGTTGAGCATGCAATCCAGGATGCAGCTGTGAAAGTGCCGCTGCAAGGGTTACATGAGGGCCTCAAGGGCTACAACTCGTAGAATTCGAAAGTTTAGATTGCACCTCCGTGCCTTGGTCCCGACCAATTGGTTTAGTAGTTTCGACCAGTATAACAATGGCGGAAAATGTCGAAATCAGAACGTACTGGTCATGGGAGCGATCTTGAGACATCTCAAACAAACTTTGTTATTCTGTTTGCTTCAACTAAAAACGTTAACATTACAGAATACACGTATATATTGTGCTGCAAGTATCGTTTAATTGTCGAGTCTCCTTCAGAGAATTAAAAAAATAATTTTTGGTTTTTTTCTTTTGTTCTTTACAAATAATGTTTTTTAATAAATTTTATTTTTAAATATATATTTTAAATTCGAATACATATTGATCCCCTATAGGAAATATTGAACTTTGCACAATCGATTTTTTGATTACATGAATTCTGATTGATAAATTTCTCAATCTGTAAAGAATAAGTAAAATTCAATTCAACTTCGATGTTAGTAAAAACTCGTTTTTGGAGTTTTCACAAATGCATATATAAAAATTTTTTCAGCTCTTTATACAGTTTGGAACAATATAAAAATCTGCACTAGAATTCAAAGACTCAGGTTGCAGACGAAGAATAAAAATTTTACATTGCCGACGAAGGATCGATGTTTGAAATTTTGGTGTTTAAATAAATCTAGTGTAAGCTTTTTTTATATATTGAAATCAATAATTTAACTTAAGAGTAGAACATGTTATTTATGTTACAGTATTTCATGAACGTAAATCTCGTACCGTCAAAAATAAATATTTTTTTTATCTGAGTACGAAATTGATAGTGAGTGCGACTATTTACAAAGTAAAACCGCAATATACACTAGGTATGTGTACCTACCAGCTAACCAAAATGTTTTGTTTTGTCCTGTAAATTGTTTTTTTGAAGTTGCGTTAAAATTGTTTTAATATTAATATTTCTTTTCTTTACGAAAATGAATTTAATTTGTGTGTAGAATTTGATCGGTAACAATTATATTTTTATAATTTGCGATACTATAGTGTACATATCCAAAGTAATTTATTAAATTTTGTTATATGTTATTCCTCTCCTCTCTGCTATATTAATTATTAAGAAGATAATATACGCGTTAAATGATCATTTTCTTTCTAATTCATTGTGTATTAGAAATGTAAAAGAAATTCTTTTTCTGTTGCAGGCTTAAGACAGCGACCTACGGATTCTCCGAGAGGAGGTGAGTTTAATTAATCTATTTTTTAAGAAAAAATGACCAATAAAAATGAAAGTATGTCTTTCTTCGGATATTTACTAATATAACTGGAACGATGCTCGCATCGCGATATTTCTGATATTTAATATCTTAATATTGTAACATATATATATATTTTAAATGCAAATTCCGGAAAATTAGCGAAGAATTAAATTTTTTGGAAAAGTGAATAATAATGATATAACATTAAATTATTATTTCGTTTATCAAGAATGTTTCTATCATTTGTGTTCTACGGATTATGCTTACGTTGCAATATTAATTACATTTATTATCACTGTATTAACGTAAAATAATAATATTATCATAATTATTATCGTAATAATGTTTATTATTCATCACGATTATCGTGCCACCGATTGAACATGTAACCATGCGATTTACACCGCCGCGCGCGTGGACTGTGTGTTACATCAAGCGTATGTAATCCGGTGCGCGATAAAGAATACAGATATCGATTCGATTTAACAAACTGTATAGGCATAAAATTTAATTCGGAAATGCGTCCGCACGAAGTACTAAAAGCGCGCGTACTAAACGCGAGTGCTAAAACTCATGATCACTTGTACTACATTTCGATGCGCTCATTAGCGTAATTAGCGTAAGCTATTCACGTTTCTGCGGGCCCAGGTCGACATGGGACAAACGCTGGTATGTTACTTCATTAACTTGCGAACCATAGGACTCTAAAATAAAAATATTAAAGCGTGATTAATTATAAAGCGCATTATTAAATTTGATTCTCGTAATTTTTTATCGTGGCACGCACGATACGCACGCGGGACGTGCATCATATTTCGCAATTGAACATCAATTCTACATCATACAAATCTTTTAATTGTATTTTCTAACTACAAGGGAATAGAGCGTAGCTGCTACTGTGTATTTTGAGCTATTTCTCTCTCTGCATCATATTTCCGCACAGAATCCGCTTTAAAAGCAGTACCATGCTTTGCAATCGCACGCTGCAGCACAAAATGACGCGTTTGAAGAGAATATGTTATGGATTTTGTGACGAGCGCTATGAGTGCTTTATTGGTACATTACGCCTGTACAAACGGCCGCTCGCGTTTTACGGTCAGTCAGGGGTTTCACAGAAGAAAATTGAAGCGGGGTGTTAGCGGCTTTTCGCGTGTTCGTTTCGGTGCAGTCGAAGCTATCTCCACTCGTCGTTAAAACGCGCCAATTTTTCAACTTTCGACTGTGCTGCGTTCATAACGCTAAAAAATACACGATTGTTGTAGGTGCGGCACGCGAATTATTTCCGATGAGTTTCAGTTTGATTTTTATTCGGATCCGTGACATATTACTCTTTCACGAAAACAATTGAGTTTGATCCACACGCGTGTAAACACGCGCTCTACTTCAACCCTAATTCAGATTGCCATTAATCCAGTTGCCGATTTTTATTCCTTTTTTTCTGATTGTGCAATTGTACTCAACGTAAACGAATTTAATTTATAGCTTTCGCACATAGATATATAATTAAGTTCGTGCCACTTTATGCAGATATGCTTACATATGAAATGAAATAGGATAAAAGTGAGTTAATTTTATTAAAATGTTATTATAATCATCTTATATGTTCTAAGGATTTACTGAAAGATAAAAAGTGTAACGATTCTTTTTAATCATGTCTTTAAAAATAACAGGTAACAGAATGAGTGAAGTTTTATCACGACGATGATTGACAAAAGACGTTTCTTTTTTATTATACACATTTTTTATGAGCGGCAATCTATAGTAATGTAGCGCGTGACATTATTCAAATTGAATCGTTCGTACCGATTCGTAGTCATCGCCATCGTTCGCTCTCGATAACGCTATTTCGCTGATTTCTCGAGTCGCGAACTCGCGTTGCGCTGGAAATTCGCTATTTATCGAAGAGGACTAGAACGTCTCTGGCGCGAGTCGTTAAAAAGTAATGTATTCTGTTAGCGGCACGGAATACCGAAAAGAGGAAAGAGGGATCCTTTTATGCCAGCGGCTTGTACGGATGTTTTCGTCAAAGGACACGCATACCGTATCTTCCCTGTATAGCTGTTCTGAGGAGGGTGGAAATCTCTTGAACTTGGATCGCTCTTGCTCTCTTGTGGAAAGCTAAATTGCCCCCGTCTTCTCCGACGACACCGCTGAATTTTTAGTTCATTTCTGAAGTGTTCCGCTATCACGTTCATTTTCGCGGTCGCCATCGTAGACGTCTGACGAATCAGACGCTCAGCTTAACTGAACGTTCGATATTTCGTAGAGTGTGAGAGTGAAGCTCTCTGCATGTAGAAATACTGTTTAAATTGATGATTATATTCATATATTCATTATAAATATAATCTAAAATAGCTATTTCAGAATAAGAAAAAAGATATACATATATAATAAAATTGTATTAGTTTCTTTCCAAACGAAAAAAAAAACATTTTTATTTTTGTTAGAATGTATTATTCCTGCTTTAAAAAGATTTTATTATCTCAGTGAAAGAGATTTTATTTCAATCGTTAGTAATCTAAAAAAGATTGCGTCTATAATGTGTGCAATAGGTATTGAAAAATATTGACATAGATATTCAACTTCTCTAATATACTTGTATACGTAAGTATTGAAAAGGTTTCTTCTACTTGTATGTAAATGAAAGAATTATTTATTTCAGACAAAGTATCATGCACTTAGAGAAAAAACGTAATAACGACAACTAAAAAGGTGACTAGTTATAGCAGCATAATGGACGTAATTGAATAATTTATTTTGTAGTTGTTGAAACTTTATAAAATAATTTATTCATCTATAAATTTATTCACAACTATATACAATAATTCTACATGTAAAACTTGTATAGTTGCTATTTTTATAATATAATTGCTATTACTATGTTTTTCTCTGAATTCACAATTTAATTTGAAATAAAATATATATATATATATATGTATATTGGAAGAATATATCGGAAAGTTGAGTATCTATGTATCAGTATTATTTCAGTACCTATTACATACATCAAAAACATGATTTTTTAGATTATGAACAATCGAGATATCACTAAAATACTGACATTTTCTTTAAAAAGCACAGAAATAATACGTCTTTGAAAAATAAATGTTGTTGTCGTATTCCATTTTAATTGGTTTAGTAAACGGACTTAATTCAGTTTAATCTGTAAATGTGCAAAATGTTTTTAAACGACCTTTGTCTGGTTCGTATTTATTCGTAATTCATCTTTTTCGCGACGTAGACTTCATTACAACGTAATATTTTATTCAAATTCGCGGTAAGATGATATCTGTGAACACCAAACGCAGAGATAAATCCTGTCGAGTGCGCGATCGATTCATTCGCCAGCAGAATGGTTTAATTTAAATAGCAGCGACGGAAGCTTCCTACGTAATTACCGTTACAACTGAGGTTTTGTTTTGTATCTACAGGATGTGCGACACAAGGTGTGCAAATGTCATACTCATTTCTGATGCGAACATTCAATCTTGCTGTAATTAAGACCGAACGATACTTGCCGCTTTGTGAAAGTTGCGATTGTTTTGTGACAATTGCAACGACGGTGAACTTAAAAATTGACATCAAGAAAAACTCGAGTTGAAAGTTCTGATATATATTTTAAGATGCGAGGTTTGTGAGAAAATTAATCTTATTTTCGTGATTCTCTCTTTCAAATATTTATACGCATTTTGTCACTTTGTTTTATTATATCACGTGCAATATAATGATTTTCATCATACGTTAGTAAAACATTCCACGTATAAAAAGCTACTGCAAACTTTAATAGTAATTGTGATTCAAAATTACTTTATAAAAGTTACTGATTTTAAAAAATAACGTGTCATTATTGTTACTCAAAAATTATTATTAATATGAAAAAGTAACTTGTTATCATTATTTGGAAAGTTGTTACTATTCCGTTACTTTTTCTCCGAATTTTTGTAACTCCTTTTTTAGAGTGACATCCAATTGTCTTGGTCACTAATTGATCAATACGAGATCCAGAGTAATTTTAATAGTTGTAGTTAATTGCAACATGGCCAAATATAACATTATCTTCCTCTAAAACTTGTTTATGCACATTTCATACACATGTATTGTATAAAATAACGATAAAAGTAATGATTTATTCATTTCCGTTACCAAAAAAGCTTCTACGTTATCATTAATGTTACAAATAAAGAAATGCATCGTCGTTATCCACTCATTATTAAAAAAAGTAATTATAACGATAACAACATTACAAGTAACGCGTTACTTTCCAGCTCTGCTGTCAATTTAGGCGGATTCGTACAAACATATGTTAGCTTATGTAAAGCCTATAAAAAGTTATATTAAGTTCCATTTTACTCTTAGGAGAGAACATTATTCTTAAAAGTTGAATTTAACGTTTCTCACAGCCGAATTTCTGTCGTCGCAGAAAACTCAGAGATCTTCACTTGAATTGCCCTAATAACGTTATTCAGCTACATTCTATTTTCGCGTAAGACCTTTGACGATTCCCTTCGTGTGTTCGCGCGTTGTATACCTAGGAGACTCGAGTCGCCGCTTTTCACGGTGGGTAACGTTTGAATCTACCCCTCGTATCTAATTCTGTTTAGCGGAGTGACCGAGATACGTTGACGGCGCGACGCCGCACACTGTGCTGCGTCACACCACGTCGTGGCGTTCCCACTTGCGGGAAAGTTTAAATTATCCTGTCCGCTGGGAGGAAGCATTTCTCTTCTCCGCGGGGAAACGACTCGGATTGGTCGAGTCTGATTAGTTCGGTGGTCCCATGCCCATTTTATCCCTACTTTACTTTCCACTTTATCTGTTTCTCTCTCTCCCCCCTCCCTCTTCTCTCTCTCTCTCTCTCTCTCTCTCTCTCTCTCTCTCTCTCAATACTTAATTTTCTCCATTATTCATTTTGAACAACCTCAAATTTTATTTAATAGATTTAAATTTAGGCGTAATAAAATCTTGCAAGACAAAATAACTGA